TAATCAATACAAACATGGTAGCGAAGATAATATTAAACAACAAAGTATGATGAATTCTATTGAAATGTAATGAGATCTATTTTTTTAATTCTAAAATATATAGTATTCTAAATAATGTGAAGATAATAAATATATAGAAAATATATTCCATAAAAATGTTAGGAGCTTAATTTATAAAAAGTTAAAATGCAGCTGTTAAAGTCAGAATTCTATAAATAAGAAAAAAATTAGTAAATACATAAACAAATACAATCAAAATATTACTGGAAAAATACAATTAATAAAAATTATTTGATCATTTGAAGGTAAGATTTTAGATGATTGAAATACTCTTATTTTCCACCAGGAGCTTCCAGGCTCAAGTAGATGCCATAGTTCATGTTCTCAAGGGTCGAAAGCTCACGGAAGGTGCCAGTCTATACGAGCACTCCATGAGTAAATAAAAGGATCTTGCTCTGGGCACTTGGTTTCATGAGCAATGGTGTCTTTGTGTGAAGGCAAAGTGAGCTCTTTCTCTGGACCAGGGCACCCCATGCTGGATTGGAGCGGGGGACACAATCCACAGGGCTGGCAGGTGGTAGACTAGATTTCAGTCACACTCAACACCTCAGAACGAATTGAGTTGCCTTTTACTACTGTCTCCAAAGCAAGATCTTGAGCTTCACTGATGATATAAATAAGTTCGTAGCCTTTATCTAACTTTATTTGTGAAAGAAAGTAAACAGTTTATTGGAAAGTATCCCTGGTGGCAACTTTCATTCTACAGGACAGGGGCTTAGCTAGACAAATAAGCAGAGAGAAAAAACTTGAAACAAGAACAAGAAATGGAGAATACAATACAGTTAGGGGGAGCAAGAAACACATTGGTAAATGTAAATTCAATCAATTTTGATAGACTAATAATGAAATATCAAACTTTGGATAGCTAACTCAGATTACTCATGTCTGTCTCCCTTAGGAGACTTGAATATCTGAGCAGCAGGTGTTTTCCATTCATTTCTTTATCTCCAAGTCTAGTTTAGTCTCTGACACATGATATGTTAATGTTTGGTGATGGGCACTAAGAGAGAGATAAAAGATAACAGATTATAGATAGATGGTTGATATATGATAGAGAGAGAGAGAGAGAGAGAGAGGTAGGTAGGTAGATAGATAGAAAAATAGATAGATAGATAGATAGATAGATAGATAGATAGATAGATAGATAGATAGATAGACAGACAGACAGGCACAGTGAAGTTTGTGTCTACTTCCTGGGGTAGGGGAAATGGTTGAAGTCACTCTTTGATTATTGAATCTATTTTAAGTGATTCATAATTCCATTAAAAAAATAAGTACTTCAATCTAACCACTGTTTTGAAGTTATAATTTTTTAGAAAATTATGTTTTTATTTCAACTGATTTAGAACCAATTTGGAGTAAAAATGGATAACTGTTTCAAAACTGTAGTACAACCTGTAAAGATTTTATTTACACTTTTCCAATTGATTTTATTCCCTCGTTCAACTAACTTTTGTCGTTTTCTATGTGTCACATACTATGTTGGCTCAAGCAGGTCTAAATCTAATAAATTTAACAAATAAGATAGTATATTCAATAAAGAAAATACTTTGCAACAAGATGTGTCCACAGCATGCCTTGTAAGGATAAAGGACAAGATGCTAATTTATCTGCAGAGAGAGGGAAACTAGGAAAGAATCCCTAAAAAACTGACACTCAAGTTGAATTTTGATTCATTAGTAGTTATCCAAGTGCAGAAAGCTATAGGGAAGAAGCTGTTGCAGGGTAATAACATAATCACACAAACTTTAAGTTGAATTGTAACTTAGCAGATAGAATGGGGGGCTTGCAGGAGGCTGGAATAAATGGCCCTGAGCAGGGAGGCTGGCGCCTAATTCACCATAGATTTTTCCATCATGGTAAGGACTTTGATGATAATCTCAAGAATAATTGAGAACCCATAATAGGTTTTAAAGTACAGGATTGTAATGATGAGATTACATTTATGATTCCACTTGTTCCACTTATGGAGGACTAGAGCTAGAACCATATACAGTACAGGGATGGGAAAATTTGAGGGGAATTAAGGAAATGGAGCTAAAGTGATTCATTGATTGATTTGGTGTGAACATTAATATGCTGGCTTCTGAAATGGACAATGGGTTTTTTTTTTTCATTTGTTTTTTGTTTTATAATAATGCATTCACAGAGCTTGGAAACACAGAACAAAGAAAAATTTTCAGTGGTACCCAAATTTGAGTTTTGAGTTCACAATACTTAGCCTATTTCCAGTGAGATACACTGTACAGTTTGATATAGGTCTTCAATTCATGAAGATAAAGAGAGAGAGAGGTTATTTGGCTACAGTTACATGTTACTTTCTATGTTTGGGTTTTATTTTATATTCTAATTCACTCATCTTTATAATAAATAAATGATATAGCAATGCCTGTAACTAGAAGACTAAAGATCTGCAAACGGTAGGTAAAAGACAATATTGGAATTATTTAAATTTCTGATTTTATAGGCTGTACATTATACATGCATAAGACCAATATTTCAGCTCCGGGACTTATGTACAAGCCATCAACCAATACCCAAACTTATTTCCAGAATATGACTATTATACTGGCCTGACTCTTGACTGGTGGTCCTCTGAAAGCCCTATTGCCTGATGAGTCCATCCTGACTTACCTGTCTGATTGCTCTGCTTATTGTTGATCTTCATCCCATCAGCCTGATTCACTCTGAAGTTGGTGTTATCAGAATGAACTAGTGTCACATTATATATTCACCTTGATTCCCAACATATAATGAATTCCCAGACTATGTTGACAATATCTTATCAAAAATGAATTATCTAGATGAATTATTTATAATCAGAATGGTTTTGACATGCTTAACTAACATTTGCTTCTCGTCCAGCCACTGGTATCATGAAAACAAATAGATTTCTGTCAAGTTGAGTTTCAAGTACCCTTAACTGAAAAATTTTTTCCTCAAACTTCCCAGTTTCTATCATATATCTAGCAATCAAGCCTGCCTAATCATATCATTTTAACCAAAAGAAATGTAGGAGAGCAATAGAATTGAAAAAATAAAGAAAGAAAATAAATGATAGCGTGAAGAAAAAAGAGAAGATACACATCACACAAATGGTGTCTTTGATGAAATTAAAAACACAAATACCAAGGGGAAAAGGAATTAAAAAATAAGAACAAGAGGGAAGGGGTAAACAATTAGGATGATAGAAGACAAAAAGAAAAGATAAAATCTGCATATTTTAAAGTCAAACACTTGGTTTGGTTGCAAAGAGCGGAAGCAACAATTCTGCTCTGAGATTAAAACAAACTGGGTCAGCATTCCCCCATAGATATTCCCATCTATTTTATTTTCTAAGAGAGTTTCAAACATTTTGCTTGGGGAAAAATCATCTGTTCCACTTGTAGCTCCCAGTTTTGGAACATGTCATCTTAGAGCATTTGAAACTAAATTGCTTCCCTTACCATTTTTATCTTCTATTTGTCAATCACAAAATGGTATATTCACTCTTTCACAACTATTTTTTTTAGGAAACATTTAAAGAAATGTATATTATGGTACATAATCAATTGAGTAAATGACCTTAGATTTTATCCCTATTTGTTTACTTAAAATATAACTAAATATAGATTATTTTGAAACAGTAATACACATTTATGCTCAATATTATTTAGGGTGACCCAGTTTCTATGGGGAACATAAGAAATAGCATTTTCTTAGTCCAACAGCACCTGAATGTTGCTTTCTCTTTAGAAGGATTCAGTTGTACTCGGGGCCAGGATTCATTGCCAGGCCACTACAACTCTTTATCACTTGCCCATGGTGAGGTGAATCGTCTCTACATGGCATGCAGACTTTGTCTTACTAAATGGCAAGGACTGGAGCAGCTACACATGGAAAACCTCTCATGGAAAGAGTGTGGTATTTCCTAGTTTTCTACTGAATAACTATACTCCTCAGTACAAATAGAAGCCCTTGAATAAACAAAAATGCAGAGATCATTAAAAATAAAGCAGAATCTGGAAGGGCATTGTAAAGACTTTCTAATTGTTCCTGGGTGACTTAGAAATAGGATACAAACATGACCACTAAAAAGATTTGCAGAAGGAAAAAGTATTTATTTATGCTCTTTCCCACTTCCAGGTTCTCAGTTAAGAGTATATCTAGATACAGATTGTGTTTACGTCATTCTTCCCAAGATGTTACATAATAGATAGTGATTTATTAATTTATTGTCTAAAGGGCCAGTTGTTCGGGAAATTTAGTAAAATCTGAGTATAAACAACATTGGAACAAACAGAAAAAAATGTATGGATCTGTTATACTTATTCTGAAATAGGGTATCATAATTTAAGACCTCATAGAACTCTAAGATATTTTGCAGCATCTCTGAGTTTCAGAGATTCCCATGGATAGAAGAAGCAGTTTATTTCCAAAACCTATTGTTAGCATACAGTCCCCAAACAGTAAAACCAACTAAAACAAAAGTTGTATTTACTTAAATATTTAACAAAAATTTATTGCAAGAGATATTTTTCACTGAATTTACAGTTTCAAGGAACATGGTACAAAACATAGTGCCATTAGCTTTGTCTAAACATGAAATAGGTGCAAATACACAAAGATTTAAAAAAAAAAACAAAGCATACTTTACAACATAAATTACAGTACTATAAATATATTTTATGTACATTATACATACTCTTAAGACATCAATTTAATATACAGCATATATTGTATTGATTTTGAAACTATTCAGTGCCTTAATAATATTATATATCAGAAACTAAGAATTTATTTGCATCATTAGACTTACAGTAAATGATTTCATATCAGGGAGGCCATATTGAGGCTAGTTTCTTCCCACCATTCGGAAAGGCAATGTTCCACTTAGATGAGCATTAACTCACATGGTACTAGTTTTCACATGTCTATTTCTTTCCCTTCTATGGTGGAGACTAGAAGAGAGGCTGCAGGGGAACGACGGCCGGGTGCGGGGAAAGTAGTGAAGGGAAGAGTGCGTGGGGTAAAGGCGGGAAAGCCAGGTGGCCAGGATGAAGGACCGAAGCTGGAATGATGGGCATCTGGGGAGGAGCCACGAAAGTTGGCTGATTGCCAGGACAGAGCCTCGGTCCGACGGGTCCTATTGAGATTTGAGGTAACGATGTTCTGGTGAGAGCTGGGACTTGGGCCAGAAACTGGTGGTGTGGTTGAAGCACTTTAAAGGCTCCTGCAGCGGCGGCAGGGGCTGCAGTGTGGTGGATGGCAGTTACAGAGGTAGAACGCAAGGGCTGCTGCAAAGGCAGAGGCTGCAGAGCTGTGGCGGGGGGCGCGAGGGCGGCTGGAGGAAAGGCAAATTTGACCTTGCTGGCCAGCATGTTCGGCGGTATGATGTGCTGGTAGACCTCACAGGGGAGATTTTTGAATTTTTCATGGTTTTCTATTGGGATCAGTAATGCTTGTTCCGGTAAAGGCAATGGAGCCAGGATATGCTCTGTCGTTACAAAGGTATGACCACTGACATGTGCTTCTTTGAATGGTAATGGTGGTTGTGCGTTAAGAATTCCTGAATTAAAACGCAGCCACTCAGTTGATGCCTCATTCACCTTTCCTTGTGGAAGGGCTTCAGCCAGTTCATAGTGACAAAGGTATGATTTAGGTTGTGAGTGTCTAAAGTTCTTTTCCACATGAGGCACCTTGGGAGGAATTTGCTTTTCATTACTACTTTTATTGTTTTTTGCTTTCTGTTCGAGCAAGGTATTGTTAATTTCTTCTTTTGGGGGGGCAGTGGCTACATAGACAGATGTGGTGGGTTCACTGGAAATCTCTGGCAAGACACCAGAATTCGTGCCCACTACTAAGTGTTCATTTTCACCATTGGTTCTAGAAGGAAGGGGACTGGTCGGGTCTAAAGTCAGTTTGTTTTCTCCTTGGGCTGTTTCTTCTGAGTTCCTGTCGACATGTGCAGTTTCTTGTGGTTTTATTTCCTCTTTTTTACCTTCACTTATTAGTTCATCCTGGTGACATAAGGAAGAATTGCCTTTCACAGGATACTCTGCATTCTCTTTGAGTTCCAAAGTTTCAAGTCTGGTGTGGAATCTGCTTCTTTTTCTCCTCCGTTTCCTCTTAGGCTTAAAGGGAGCGGAAGCACGTGGTGGTCGCCAAAATTCTTCTGATAAATAATTCTGTCGATTTAAACTTTCATCTGAAGAATAAGAATATGAATGTTGTCTACGTTTTCGATAAAATATTTCTGATTCATTAATGAGAGAATTATAACCTCTCTTAACAGCCTGATTTTGACGCATGCATTTTATGTCATCTTGAAGAACGAAGCATCTGTGGTCCTTACTAGAGCTGGACATTTTGGCTTTACAACTACAGTACGCTCTGGAGTATGCTAAACAATGTTTCCCAGAATGTATCATCGTTGGATTGGATTGTTCATTTAAAACAACTGAGTTCTTTGTACAGTGATTTTTAGAACTGATATCATTGTTATTATTGTATTCAGGGTTCCAGGTTTTACACATTTCTTCATTTTCACTTAAGTATATAAATGCTGACATGGGCTTTTTATCAGGTAATTGAGGTGAGTCCAGTAATTGCTCTACAGCTAAATCCTGCTTGTCTGAAATTGTCTCCAGTAGATTTTTCTTAGTCGTATCATCGCAACTATTTTCTGTTTCCATTTTGAAGTGAGTTTTTGATTCTTTGGTTTTCTCCCCATGATGATGGTGACATAACTTTCTTCTTTTTTTCTTCCTTCTACTTTTATGGAACCAATGTTCATGTCTATCTTTCAATCTTGTTTTGTTGTATTTCTCATGAGTATCGTGTTTTATTTGCTTTTTAATAAAATTATACCTTTTTGTTTTTCTGATTCTACAAGAATTATTTTTATACCTTTGAGCGATACTCTCACTTCTTTCAGAATCACAACTATTAGAGAGAGTATCTTCAGCCGAAAGGGGAGTGACTTGGGTGGATTCATTTCTGCTGCCTCCAATGTTATCATCTGTGAGTCCCGCAATAGATCTGTCCTTGCAATCCAAAACTGGTCTCTTGCAAATGTCATCGCCTTTCTGCTGAGAATAAAGGCCATTTAAAGGCAGCTTGTTTTTATCTAGATTGTTTAATTTAGTGGACTTAAAGTCAAAACACAGAGGATTGCAGCTATAGGAAATTGATGGCTGAGTAGTTGTGTAAATTAGCATTTCTGATGGCCACTGAAGAACTGTGGATCCATCTTTGTTAAGTACAGGTGCAAATGGCTCACAGGGTCTTTTATGGAAATCCGTTTTTTTATGTAAGGTTATATTATCCTCCTCAGGATTTGAAAGGGCCAACATCTCAGGACCATAACTCTTATTTTCAGCTTCAATTGTGGATGCGTCATTGTCCTTAGCATTTTCCTCCAGGGTAACTTGCAAAGCTGTGCAGTCATTAGCCTCATCAAGAACTGTGCATCCGTTTCCTAACAACTCAGAAGGATTACCACTCACAGGTATGTCTCCATTAATAACATCTTCTTGTGGTAATTGATCTGCTAATGGTACAGAATTTTGACAGTTATCTGCATCAGAAGATAAAGGGAGTTGAAACTGGCAAAATGAAGGTAATAATAATGTATCTTTTTCACTAGAAACATCTTTCATTTCTTGAGTTTGAGCAGTTTCTTTGTAAGTACACATTCCCTCTGATGGATGAAAAGAGTTAGCTTTCTCCTCAGGACTCAAAAGCACATCTGTTGGTGAAGATAGTTGAAGATGACAAGCACCAGGGACAAATCTGCTTTTTCTACTTAATCCTTTTTCCACAGAGGCTTCATCATTGTGTTCACAGAAGGCTGCAGCTGAAGACTCCAGCTTCACGGATGCTTTCTTTGGAAATGCAAAAGAAAAGCCAATTTTGTGTCTGTGAATTCCCTGGGCTTGATCTCCAAGTTGATTATTTTTTGTGTAATTATTTGCGCTTTCTGGATCTGTAGCAACAGTGGTAACATCTTTAGCATTCTCTTCACTATCAATCAAAGTATATTTAAAATCTTCCTGGTTATTAACTGAATCCACGACAACTCTTTGGGAAATTTCATTACAATTTTCTCTCACAGTAACAGTTGTTGACTTGAACATGGGGCCACTTCCAGGAGCACTACAAAAAGTAGCAGAAATTATATGAGATAGGGCACTTCTGAGGAAGAATATTCAAATATATTTGTCTTGGAAATGTTATTATAACAATTTTTTTTTCAGTTTTTTAAATCATTGTGAAAGAATTACTTTCATATGGTACAATCACCCTCCTTAGGGTCACACTTTTTAGTTACTGGTTATTGTTTGGTATAACTTGGAGGTACTGTCATGAGGTTACTTTTATCGCTATCTCCTAAGAGCAATGGCAAAGATAGTCCCTGCTCTCAACCAGTGCTTCTTGACCAAGATTGTTTACCGCAATGGTCTTTTCAGTGACATTTTGAAGTACTGTAAAATTTTCTAAAATAAAATTACTTTTAATTGACAAATACTTAACATCATTCGTACTATACAGAGACTATGAAGGAAATGAAAGAAATACTCTTTATCATAACTTCAGAAGAGCTGGGAATTCACCGACACTTACTGAAAGTGTAACACAGGCCAGCCAGCATGCTGTAATGAGAAAATGACTAAGAGATAATACTATCTTGATGAGAGTTTTGTTTTTCGAATTACTATTCTTAATATTTAAAAAGTACCCCAAAATTATAAATGACTTAAATTGTGATTTCTATTTATTTCAATATACCAAAAAAAGTGAGTTGTGATTAAAAGAATTACACTGTCTAGCACATAAACAAGAAAGTACCTATATATCATCTTAACCCAGACAGAATCATACTATGCAGAATTTTCCATGCTATTTAAAAGTTAGCTCCTTAGAAATTATAATTGGCCAAATTTTTAAAATTATTTTCTTTAACATAATGGACTGTGTAATTGCCTTATTTTATATTTAAAAACAACACTACTTTTTAGCTGCATATCTTTAGAGGCACCAAATTAATGGGAGAATCATTTGCAGATGTGTATGTGCATGTGCATGTGTGTGTATAATGTGAAATATGTACTGTATACTGAGGAAAGTAATTTAGATAAGAACTGTTGGTTTTTTGTGCATAACCTTTTTAACTCTACTTCTCTTAATATATTTACATTAAATATATTAATGCTGCTTGTGGAACATTAAATTACATAAGTCTTTTAATTCTTTATAACACCAATTTTCAAACTCTTTCATCTCATGGCACAGATAAACTAATTACTAAAATTTTGTGGCCAAAGAATATATTATATTTTTTGCCAATCTGAAAAAAAGTAGGTATAATTTTGATTTATTTATGGAAAAAAATAGTAATTACCTACCCATTTTGCTCCAAAGCAACTTTTTAAAAAATCAGGTGCCTGTACTTTTATACAAGGATTTCTGGTATGAAGAATTAACCAATCAGGTGTAACCTTACTATGCAATGTGACCAATAAGATGCAACTCTATTAAATGACTTACATGTTTGTGGTTCCAGAGAAAGTATTTGTACCAGCAGCTTCTGTTGTGCTGGCTGCTGTCATTTTTTTGTTTATTTGATAATCTAAGGGAAGAGAGGTCAGTGCCTCTGACTAAATGGTCAGTTATTGCCTGTTTAAAAAATTCTTGTAGCACACAGGTGAAAAATCACTGCTCTATATCATAAAATTACACTTGTATAATTTTTCATGTATTACCACACAGAGTAAGAATATCTGGTTGGTACATTTGAATAGCAGTTATATTTTATGTTCTATATATGATTCCAAATGCACTTAATTTTTATTTTTTTCTGAATTTGACATTCCAAGGACTATTTTTATATATCAATATCCCCTAAAACTATTCTATACAAAATAACATTATGTAAAATAGCTTGGTTTTGAACAATAGTAAGAGAGGCTTATGTACTGAGAGAAGAAGGAAAGGACACTGTCAATGTGGTCTTCTTTTCATACCATTGCTCTGGCTTAAACTGTAAGTTCTAAATTTTAACATGATAGCTTCTGTCTATGGGAAACAGGTCAAAGTATAACAGTTGTGAAACTTCTAACAGTCTAGTGACAATCAAACTAAATTTGACCTACCTCTGAAATGTATAGTGTATTCCAGACCCCTTAAAAATATAATTAAAATAATTTTTAAAAAGTTTTTTTCCCAATTTATAATTAGCTCCTCTTAAAACTCCATTTATAACAAAGGTCATAAGATGGTATTTTGGTCTCTCCTTCAATCAAATGTTTTTAATTTCTCAAAGAAATAGAATAAATTTCAATAAGATAACTTAAATAATGGAATAATATGAAATTTATTTTTCATAAACTAAAAGTATACATTTTGGCTTTTTTTGAAGTGTGCAGTAAACACATTTGCCTGAAATTTCATTTCAATATACCGCTTAAAGCTCACAGAGAACCATGAAAATGTAAGTCTTATTCTCTGTATAGAAAAAAAATAAATTGTGTCTTTTATTTCTATCTTTCTTCTTTTACACTTTAAGAAAATTTAACATTTTATTGCACGCTCACCATACAGTTTCTTTTCTTAGCTCAGCCAGCTTGTGCAGACGTTGGAGTGCTTTTTCCTGTTTTCTTTCATCTTTCCTTGATTTAGATGCTACATTTCGAGCAAATTCCCTTTGTTTCAGCTCTTTGAGCCTCTGTGTAAAAAAAAAAGGAAATGGTTAATAGTGTTTGGGTCTATGGCAATATTAAAGTTACTATTGTTTTTATTGTTGGAATTTTGCAATACACGTCCTTTGTTTGACATTATTTAAGGAAAACACAGTATTTGTGATGACTCACTTCAAACAAAGATATTTTCTTACCCTTTTGGCTTGTGAAAATGCCATAATATATTATTACAGTATATTATAAGATATACCTATGCCTTAGGTAAATTGGAATGGAAAACTTTCATTTCTCTTTCTTGACTGTTTCCTGACAAAGTTCTCTGCCTTATTCAGATGAACTTTTGGAGCCTTGTAAACTCCTAATTTTCAAGCAATATTATTTTATGTACTTCAGTTACATATGATAAATTTCATAATATTTTGATATTCTTTACATTAGATAGGCATCTGGTAGTTTTTATATTTTTTAAGAATAGTAAATGTTTTATGTTAATTCATAAGCTAAATGGCCTCTTCTAATGTAATTTAAAACAATCCCTCCGCTCAAATATTAGGCGTATTTCCCAAATAATTTAAGATATGACAAGAAAATGAGTAGTGTTTTTGTGTAAATTCTTTTTATAATAGGTGTATTTTTCTTGTTTTTTTTTTAATTTTTTTGATTTTTAGAGGAAGAGGAAAGAGGAGAGAGAAAGGGAGAGAGAAAGAGAGAGAGAGAGAGAGAGAGATCAATTTGTTTTCCAAATTGGTTGATTCTTGTATGTGCCCTGACCAGGGATCGAACTGCATATTGGGAAGATCTTCAAAAAACCGAGACAAACTGCCAGGGCCTTGGTGTATTTTTTGTCTGCATTGTCTGGCTCATTTTATGGTTGAAGGCTAGAAAAAGAGTGTGACAACTTGAACAGAATTGATAAATAGCCATGAGTGTGCCATGATCTAAAAGACATCAAAGTGATTCTACACCCTGAATATTTCCACTATAGTCTTTCACAGATACAGTGTATAATTATTAAACATGATTAAAATGCTATATTTTTTCATGAAGGCTCGTGTTATTATTCATTTGTATTATGTTGAGTCTTAGAGTGAGACTCTAAATGAATAAAATATATACTAGTCACCATTTTATGAAGTGATTGAACAAAGTTTTAATAAATGCCGCATACATACACACTGATGTATGTTAAGGCTTAGAAAAATGCCTGGTATATAAAATGACTGCTTAATAAATATTTGTTATTTATATGTGAATCACTTCAGTTCCTTCAAATTAGGAATTTTCCTCCCTCAAAAAAATATAGTAAAACTAATGAAATAATATTAGGCTCTGGGTAATCCTGAATTGTATCTGCTTAATTTTACCTGCTTAAGCTTCCAATAAACTTTAATATTTTAATTGATGGGATTCATATAAAATGTGTATAATTATTTTAGAATATTTTTTAAAAAACAAAGATATTTTAAGAGTGAACACTTGCATTGACATATCTGTGAAGTATGGGTATATTCAGAGTTGAGTTTAAATAAAAGACAGACAGTGTCATAAGTACCAAAATTGTACAAGTATTTCATAGAAAGCCACATATCGATATAATTACTTTGATGCAATGATTAAAAGTAGCAGTAATTTTATAATCTGCATTAAATTATTTATTGATTATAGAAAAGGCCAAGAATTAGAAAGGATATTTTGCTTATAAATTTTAGTATTCCAAGTCTTGGTTGTTGCTATTCCCAAAATTCTTGCTGTCATCATCAAGACTCATTATCAGTAGTCGCTTTGTTAAGTGGCTGGGATTTTTAAAAAATTGAAGAAAAATATTTACCTTTGCCTGGGTTATGTCCATGTGTCTGTGACTGCACGTATGGGCAAGTGTTTGTAAGTGTACATGCAATTTGAAGAAATAAGGAGATAACACACAGAGGAAGGGATATTAGTATTCATTGGCTGAGGTGTATTCTTATTGTGCCACATAAAGAGAGATGGGGTACCCAAAAAATCCCAAGAAAGGCTGCCTGGGAAAAGGATATCTGATCTGGGTCTTGAAGGACATAAAAGATCATGAAGGAATAAGAGTTGGATATTGGAGGTCGGAGGGTACTTCAGCAAAAATAAATAATTTTGTATGAATATAATAGGAGCATGCATATTCTAAAAAAACCCTTCATGTAAAGAAGTATGGCAGAGCAGAATGTATAGGTGGTAGTGATGAGAACTGATAAATGATAGGGTCTAATCAAATCATGGGGCCCCTAAAAATCATGTGAAATGTGACTAAAGGAAGCATTAAAAGACTTTAAATGATGCAATGCCACAGTAGGTTTTTCATATTATCAAGATTCTTTCGGCATTAGCATGCAAAAAATTTTGCCCTGGAACAAAATTAGAGGCAAAGAAATACATAATCTGCATACTGCATTGTGTACCCACCACCCATAGTCAAATTATTTTCTGTCATCATATATTTGGCCCCTTCAGCCCTCTACTACCCCCTGCCTCCTTCCCTCTGGTAACCACCATACTGTTGTCTGTCTGCATCTCTGAGTTTCAGTTTTATATCTCACATATGAGTGAAATCATACGGTTCTTAGTTTTTTTCTGACTAACTTCACTGAGCATAATCTTCAGGTTCATCCATGTTGTTGCAATGTTAGTATTTCAGCTCTTCTTATGGCTGAAAGAGTATTCCATAGATATACGTATCACATCTTCTTTTTTTAGTTATGTTTTTGGTTTTTATCCAGTCCTCTATCAAAGGACACTTTGGTTGTTTCCCTGTCTTGGCCGCCATGAATATGAAACTATTAACCAATGTCACCAGATATAATAAAAAATTGACAAGGAGGCCAATAAGTAGGATACTACAATGATCCAGATAAGAAACACAAGAGCCTTTTCTAAGGCAGTTACAGTAGGGAGAAGAGATAGAATTGGTGACTTCTTTGTTACATCCAATTGAGTGACCTAAAGGGAATGCATTGTCTTTACTGAGAAATACTACCTGCCATTCTAAGAAAGAGACATTTAATCATGAGAGTTTGAGTGTTAGATGGAGGATGCTGACAGTCTGAAAACTCAATAGAAGCTGTTTTTTTAAAATAAATATTTAAGTAAATCAAAATGCCAACCAAAATATAGCAAAATATAAAGTTGCAAAACCAAAGAAAGAATTAATTTCAAAGAATTTAAAAAATTTGTATTTATGGATAGTGGTATTTTAACTAGTTGTGATCATTTATTTCCTACTAGGTCCTCTGGGAAATTGGAGACCACAAACAGGAAAGAAGACTATTTTAAATAAAATCTTTAGAATACAATTTATTTTCTATTATATATATATATATATATACAATTTTTGTTTATACATATATAAAATAAAAGTACACTATTTCTAACAAAAAGCAAAGCTTTTTTTTCTAAAGCATGAATATAAAATACGAAGAATTTCACTGTTTACTGTTTGACCATTAAGATTTGAATTAATCCATTTCCATTTACATAGTAGTTAAATACAAGCAGTCTGTCCGTTATCAAATATCAGTACTGTTGTGTTATTTCTGATATAATTGAGTGACTGACATGGCTGGAATCAGCCCCTAAATGCTGATTTAGATAACTGTATTTAGAATGTCAATATAGTTTTAGTTTTGTAGAGGGGCACCAAGCTACATTCAAGGACTGTATTGATCTCAGTCTCCCTCTCCGTATACATAATTCCTTTATTTGAGCTCCAGACTTCCAGATGTCTAAGTAAAAAAGCCTGCATAATATTTAAGGACTATTCAGCTACAGAGCTTGCAGGCCTAGTCATATACTTCATGTGCTACTTTTAGGCTTGAATTTATCTGTCTTATTTATTTGTTTGTTTGCTTATTTACTATGTATTTGTTTATTTTTATAGTTCTATGATACATGATATGTATACTGCATTGTGTGTCCACCACCCAAAGTCAAATGATCTTCTGTCACCATATACTTGGTCCCTTTAACCTCTATTACCTCCCCACCCCCTTTCCTCTGGTAACCACAACACTATTGTCTGTGTCTGAGTTTCAATATTATTAGGTTGCCCAAAGAGCTCAGTTTTATGATTCTAGTAGTGCCGAACTGTCTTTAACTTTATTCAAAACAATTTTGTTAGATTGTATTATGACAACTGTCATATCAGCATACATTTAAAAAATTATCAAAATTAGTGAATTTTTGTGGCCATTTTAATATTGAAGATAGAAGGAAATATGGAACATTTTCAACATACTCTTATTGTGTTTTATAATTTAAAGGAAGGTAAAATGCAACTGAAATGCAAAAAAAGATTTGTGCACTGTATGGAGAAGGTTCTGTGACTGATCAAATGTGTCAAAAGTAGTTTGTGAAGTTTAATGCTGAAGATTTCTTGCTGGATGATGCTCCACAGTGGGTAGATCAGTTGAAGTTGATAGCAATTACATCAAGACATTATTGAGAACAATAAACATTATACCACAGGGGAGATAGCTGATATACTCAAATATCCAAATCAATAAAGTTACTGGAGAAAATGAAAAATGTGTCTTATTTTATGGAGAAAAATAAAGACTTTTTGGTCAACCCAATATATTCCACATATGAGTGAAATCACATGGTTCTTCGTTTTTTTTCTGTCTGACTTATTTTGCTTAGCATGATATTCTCAAGGTCAATTCATATTGTCCAAATGGCAGTATTCCATCTTTTCTTATAACTGAGTAGTATCCCATTGTATATATGTATGTAACATATCTTTTTCCAATCATCAAAGGACACTTGATTGTTTCTATATCATGGCCTCCATGAAAAATGTTGCTATAAACATAGAGGTGCATATATCTGTGTGAAAGTTTTCAAATTTGGGGGTTATATACCCAGAAGAGAGATTGTTTGGTCATATGTTAACTCTATTCTTAACTTCTTGAGGAATCTCCCTACCGTTATCCATAGGGGCTATACCAGTTTACATTCCCACCAGCAGTGAATGAAGATTCCTTTTTTCTCCACAACTTCT